GATTGTCCAGTGAAGGCTTTCACTTGGTTTCAACATCCCCCTGGAGAAGGGGAGCATTCCATCGGTGGTGGCGAGCTCAGAGCAAAGGGCTGGCCATTACCTTCTTTCCATGGCCAGGTTTGTGCGTGTGGACACCTCACCTCTTCTGTTGGGATCTAAGTGAGGTAAAAACAGCCGTGTGGTCAGACGATCCAACTTACCCGAGGGTTGACAAGTACTATGCTTCTGCCAGATCACTCACTTACTGGTCAAGGAGGAGCCAGAGATATGAGTAGGGAAAACAACAAAGTTTTCTCATGTCCAAAACTGCAAAAGGTCATCAAAGTCCCTCTGTATAAGGTGCCTGGTTGAGGTCACCAACAATTATAAGATTTGACAGTTTGTGTAGTAGCAGAAGTGAGTCAATATTTTCCATTAGGAAGTTGAAAGGGTCTGCATGTTGCCACTGAGGTCTGTACATTGACACATGCTAGTACAGAGGTACTAGTGTTTATACAGAGCTTGAAGAACCTCATTTCAAGTGTGTAGGGGTGCAACATCTATGTAGCAGGGAATGAACACTATTAGAAAGCACACAGAACAACCACCTCCTTGCCCTTGGCCTGTCCTCTACTCATCCATGAGGTGTAGCCCATCCAATTCTTGCAAAATTTCTGGAGTCCTGTCCTGCCAAAATGTTTCAAACACAGCTTTATCATGTCGGGACGTCGAGTTGTTCACGAAAGCAATGTGTGAGCTCTCCATACATTAGTAATGAAACCTCTAGTTGGCCGACAGGATGCTGATTAGACTGGCTCCTCATGAATGAAGTGGCAGCTTTAGGTGGTGGGTGTGTAAGGGAATGTAAGGTGCCGCCTTTAGAGAGGTAGGGTCCTGAAGGCAGCTGCAGGGATGGTAGGCTGTGGTCTTGTATAAGGCCAATCCCACCTGCTGGGCTGGATAGGAGTAGCTGATGAGTGACGTGTGAGAGTGTTTACCCTATTCAGAGATCCTTCTGGTTTGTTCTGGAGAACAGTCTCCTAAACACAGTGGCCCTGTTTCTGACCAAGTTCCTTTTTCTTCCGACACTGGTCCTCCTTATGTCCTTTCTTGTAGCAGTATTTACACCTGGTATCTTCGCAGGCAGTTGTTGGCAGAGTCCCCTTCCGGTGACACGAGAGCACAAAGCTAGGTGCCTGGGAGGGGGGACTAGATTTGTTGTCCTCCGTGTTTCGCAGATTTGTCCTCGGATTCTGCCGCTGGAACGGTGATAGTGGAGGGTGAGACTGCTGTAGATGTCTTCCGTTCCTCCACACGTCCCTCCTCCAACTCCCTCTACCACCCCCGCCCTCTACCAGTTCTGACCGATGTGGTCCCTGCTGTTTCGTACTTCGGCGCAGCAGGTGATCAGGTGCAGTGATAGTTCCCTGGATCACTAACTGCACCGTTCTCTTGGTGGAGAAATCCTGGCTCAGAGCTTGCTGTCGATAGCACTACTACATAGATCTAGAATACTATCGGCAGGTGTGCTGACAGGTGTAGGATCAAGATGGTATTGCACTGTCAAGAGACTGCAGTGGCTGAAGCAGAGTATGTCAGGTGTAGGAGAATTAACAGATCCAAGCTTCCCACGTTGCTGGGAAGTAGGATTGTTTCCCTTCGTGGTAGTCAGAGGAATTGGTTAGAAGTCCCAAAGGTAGTGTTTTGAACTCTGTCAGTTCTGTGGATCTTAGCTATGACAGAATTTTCTCCACCAGATGTTTTACCCCTGAGTAAGCTCAGTGTGGGACTTCCAGTCTTTTGTCCAATAGTGTCGCCATCAGCTGAGGCAGCTTACGTCAATTTTATTTACTTAATGTAGCTTGCACTGACCTTTCTACAATAGCTTTGTAGGTTATCTAATGATTTGAGGAGCACTCATGAAGTGCTTCGCCTGTGATGGATTTTTATCTTAGCTGCAGACTTTACAACACAGCCCAGAGGGCATCTGATCTTTGTACAGGAGTTCCCTGAGGCAGGACTTCTGAACCCTCCTCCTGTAGCTCCCAGGCTTGTATCCACATATACCACATGATTATTGGATATCCTTTAAATTTTCTGGAAATTTTCAACCTGGCTGGCAACAAAATTCTTCTTCTGGAGTGCAATCTGTGGTGCAGTAGTTGGAACAAGTAGGCTCCTACATCCAAGAAGATCCCCCTTGTTCCTTGTGGTATACCCACAAACACTGCAGTATCACTGGGACAATAGCCAGATAGTCGTAGATAATCTTGCTATTTTGCGGTGTGAAGTCATCCCAGAGGAGGCTTATGTTGAAGTTCACAGGAGAGAGAGAGGGTGGGTGGTATGTTCCGTGGGTGGGGTGGAGGGTGGGTGGGTGGGGGTGTTAAAGCCGGTGGGTTAGAGAGGGCGGGCGCAGTGGTCCACTACTGGAAGTGTTGCCCTTCTCACTATCATTTTAATTATAAACACAGTTTATGCTGTCCACTTTCCCACTAAAGGTAAGATGGTTACACAAATCACTGTGTTGCTTTGTACCAGCCACTTGTTAAAAAGCAACCAGATGCTAGTAACATAGCAACAAAACACATATAACATTAGACGCTCTCACGTGTCTTCTCCATCTCATTCTCTCTCCTCTTTCTCTTTCACTCTCTTTCTCTTTCTCGCTCGTTCTCTCTCTCTCTCTTTCCCTCCTCACTCTGCTCTTCTCTTCTTTCTCTCTCTTTGCTCGCCGTTCTCATGCCTCTTCTCTCGGTCTATCTCTCTCCTCTTCTCTCTTTCTCTCTCTCTCTCTTTCTTCTCTCATTCTCTCTCTTTCTCTCTCTTTCTCTCTCTTTCTTATCTCCTCTCTCACTCTCTCCTCTCTATCTCTCCTCTCATCTCTCTCTCTTTTTCCTCTCTCTCTCTCAAGTCTCCTCACTCTCTCTTTCTCTTTTCTCTTTCTCTCCTCATTCTCTCTTTTTTTTTTTATTATTTTTTTTTTTTTTTTTTTTTACACAAGGGTTTGAACAAGGTTAAGGATCCCTAGCTTTATTGACAGCTATTTACAGGTTTAAGGATTCCTAACTTTATTGGCAACTAAGAGCTGTTACCTAACCTACACAGCTCTTTGAAAGCATTTTTGTTATGAGACATCAAGTAGGGAACAGGATGAAGTTGGAGCCATCTTGTCCCAGCATTCTCTCTTTCTCTCTTCTCTCTCTCTCTCTCTCTCTCCTCTAGTCTCTCGCTCTCCTCTCTCCTCTCCTCCTCCTCTCTCTCGAATCTCTCTCTCTCTTTCTCTCTCTTTCTCTCTCTTTCCTCCCCCCATATCTTTTTCTCTTCCAGTTCTTTACTCTCTTTCCCCCCTCTCTCTCTTTTCTCTCTTTAATTCCTCTCTCTCTCTCTCCTCTCTCTCTCTTTCTCCTCCCTCTTTCTCTCTCTCCGTTCATTTCTCTCTCTTTCTCTCTCTTTCCTCATCTCTTCTCTCTCTTTCTCTCTCTTTCTTTCCTCATTCTCTTTCTCTCTCTCTTTCTCATCTCTTTCTCATCATTTCTTTTTTCTTTCATCTTTCTCTCTTCTCAACCTCTTCTCTTCTCTTTCTTCATCTCTTTCTCTCTTTCTTCCTTTCTCTTCTTTCTCGTCTTTCACTCCTTTCTCTCTCTCTCTTCTCTTCTCTCTCTCTATTCTTTCTCTCTCACGTCTTTCTCTCTACTCTCCTCTCAGGACATCTTTCTCTCCTCTCTTCTCTCTCTTTCTCTTTCCTCTCCTCTTTCTCTCTCTTTCTCTCTTCTTTCTCTCTCTTTCTCTTTCTCCCTCTTTCGCTCGTCTCTCTCTTTTCACTCCTCTTTCTCTCTCTAATTCCCTCTCTTTTTCTCTCTCTCTCGGTCTTTCTCTCTCTTTCTTCTCACTTTCCTCTCTTATCTCTCTCTTTCTCCTCTCTTCTTCTCTCTCTTTCTCTCTCACTCTCCTTTCTCTCTCTTTCTCTTTCTCCTCTCTTTCCTCTCATTCCTCTCTCTCGGTCTCTCACTCTCTCTCTTCTCTCACACAACACACACACACACACAACACACACAAACACACACACACACACACACACACACACACATACACACACATACACACACACACACAATATATATATATCGTTACCGATCCAACTAGTGTATCTACCTTCAACCCTCGATATCTCCACTTAAGGAACCCTACTAACACACACACATGCGCGCGCAACACATGCACACACATACACATGGCACACACACATGTCACACACACACAATGCACAACAATACTAATGCACTACATGCACAACACACTACGCACACGGCATGCACACACACGCTCACGCGTGCTCACACTACACATACACACACAAACACACACACACACACAACAGGGTTTGACAAGGTTAAGGGATCCCGTAATTTATTCACAATTTAAATTAAAAATTTATATAAAGCTATATAACAGGGTTAAGGATTCCTAGCTTTATTGACAGCTAACAGCTGTAACCTACGTCACTCATTTGAAAGCATTTTTTTGTTATGAACATACAATAGGGAACAGGATGAATTTGTGGAGCCATCTTTGGGGCCAGCATTCTCTCTCTCTCTCTCTCTCTCTCTCTCATCTCTCTCTCCTCACTCCCTCCTGCATCTCTCTCGTCTCGTCTACTCTCTACTCTCATCTCTCCATCTCTCATCTCGTCTCTCTCTCTCTCTCTAACCCTTAAAAACGTCCAAACGTAGATCTACGTTTTTTTAACATTTGAAAGTATGTAAAAAAAGTAGATTCTTTTTTTTTTACATTTGAAAACGTGTAAAAAACTTTGATTTTCTTTTTTTTTATTATTATTTATTTGAAAATATGTAAAAAAACGTAGATCTACTTTTGGAGCACTACACATGTGAACATAGATCTGCTTGGGACCGTTAAGGGTTAATCCTTTATACTGCAATATATCCATGTAGATGTTATAGCTTTAGATTGACATATAGATCAGCATTAAGGTAAAAACTTTTTGAAATCTCTTTCAGGATCCTTATGTTCAAATGTTTCTCTCTGTTTGTGATCGAGAAATACGCCACTTGGGACGTCACTCAATGCATACCAACTTTTCACTAGATCACCCAATAGAGGAAGCTGGACGTCTCATGTCTGCAACACTCTTGCGGCACACACACCTCACACCTCAGCTTATTGAGGTTCTTGAGCAAGGTGAAAATACATGATTTCAGTTAATTTTTATTTAGTTTATAGTAATAATGGCTTCCTGCCTGAATCTGTAGCCTTTAATTCTGATTTTTGTTCCTTAGATCCTAGAGAAGGGCCCTAGTATTTTCTGTACCTGTTTTCCTATAAGAAATGGAATGGACGTGAAAGGGGTTCAAGGTTTGATTTAGATATCAATCATTTAATGTGCTAGAAGTGTGTCTAATATTACAATTTAGATGACCGTCTGACTGCAACACCCCTTCCTACCTCCAGGACTCAAGTTCAGCTCACCAGTTTCTCTGAATCTTGCATTCCAACAGCACTTCACACACACTACTGAACACTTCATTCATTCTGTACATTCTCACTACCCCAGATTGATTCACCCTCTTGGTCATCCTGTCCCTTCCAACCTCTAAATGCCCAACTCCAACTCCAACTCCTCCTAAGCCCTCTGAATTATACCCTTGATGACCCCATACTGTCTGCTAATTTCTGCTCTCTGAATTCTCTGCATAATATTGACATCACACATTCCTCTCAAAAATGACAACATTGCCTCTGGCCTTCTTGTCACAACAGTGTTTAAAGCCCATGTCCAACACACTGCTGGTACTACTGTACTCTGGTGCATTCCTCTTTTTGTCTCCATAAATTAACTTCCTTCTTTTCACAGATCTCTCATCACTTATATTTTTCACCTTTTCTATTCTATGACTAGGTAATAGGTTGGTAGACAGTAACTGTGCAGGGAGGTACTACTGTCCTGCCAAATGAGTGTGAAACAGAAGCCTGGAATTGTTTTACATGATGGTAGGATTGCTGGTGTCTTTTTCCTGTCTCATAAACAGACAAAATTTCAGGTATTTCTTGCTACTTCTGCTTACACTTAGGTCACACCACACATGCATGTTTTTTTTTTTTTTTTTTCCAACAAGTCGGCCGTCTCCCACCGAGGCAGGGTGACCCAAAAATAAAGAAAATCCCCAAAAAGAAAATGCTTTCATCATCATTCAAAACTTCCACCTCACTCACACATAATCACTGTTTTTACAGAGGTGCTCAGAACACAACAGTTTAGAAGCATATACGTATAAAGATACACAACATATCCCTCCAAACTGCTAATATCCCAAAACCCCTCCTTTAGAGTGCAGGCATTGTACTTCCCATTTCCAGGACTCAAGTCCGGCTATATAAAAATAACTGGTTTCCCTGAATCCCTTCACTAAATATTACCCTGCTCACACTCCAACAGATCGTCAGGTCCCAAATACCATTCGTCTCCATTCACTCCTATCGTACACGCTCATGCACGCTATTACAAAAAAAGTAATTTTTAAAAAGAAGAAGATGGTAAGATTTACTCCTTTTGTAATACAGAGTTCGGGATACATAAATACACACATTAAAATAAATTAATCTTTAATCAACTATCTTTGGTCTAGAGGTATTTGAACTATGATATATAATATGTACATGTTACTATAATAAATTATAATCAGCATTTTACTAAAATAATAAATAATTCATAACCCTACACAGGGTACAACTTTCTTGACACTACTGTGTCACTATATATAGGTATATCTCTATGCTAAAATAATAAATTATAAATAACATTTGTATAATAATAAATTACAATCAACTGCTTCTCACGACACGAGACCAGTCACATGACACTACTCAGTGTACACTACAACCAGGCCATCTTCAGTGTCCCACAACACCCTTTTCATCTCAGTGTTCCACTACGGTCCTGTGCATATCTCAGTGTTCCACTCCATCATACGTTCCTAAGTGTCACACTACGGTCCTGGCCCAGTTCAGTGTAACACTCCAACCTTTTCTTCATGTAATGTCCCACTAAACAGCATCTGATGATTCCGGCCCACAGTTGATCAACGTAGACGGTGAGTCCACAGACATCACCGGTAGTCCAGTAAATCCTCTCCAAAGCCGGTTGACACACCGCTAGCCGAACGCCATGCTGCAAGCTCACTGAATGCGGCCGTCAAGTAACCGAGGCCAACAGACTCAGTGAGCTGCGGTGAGCGGTTCTTCTAACGCCAGTAGATAAGTACGATTAGGTGGTCAGGTACCTACTGCGTAGATGTGTACCCTGAGGAGTTCAGGTACTTAATGTTACTGAAGCCAGTAGACGTGTACCCTTAGGTGTTCAGGTACCTACTGCTTAGGTGCGTATCCTGAGGCGCTCAGGTACATACTGTTACTAAAGCCAGTAGACTGTACCCTTAGGTGGTCAGGTACCTACTGCTTAGGTGTGCACCGTGAGGCACTCAGGAACTTACTGCTCTAAGGCCGGCTCAGCAGTCCCCACATTGGGTTTGATGACGTACCCAGTGGTACTGCCGGCCGGCAGGTTAACTATTTAACCGCTAGTTTGGCAGGGGGCCGCAACACCCCCACCACAAAAGGACCGAAACACAAAGATCAATGTAATATGTATCCCGAACCGTCATCCCGGATATGATCATCCAGAAATCATTCTAGATAATCATTATCATCCCGGACAGGCCACTCATATATTACAAAAAAGTAATTTTTAAAAGAAGATGGCATTTTTCATGGGAAATCCTTTTGAGACACCTACAGTCAAGTACCCAGTGTAATATTTGCACTGTACATAAATTTTATGTAAAGGAACAGAATATATAGCTCCTCCATATGCTTCCAATAAAACTGAGGAATTCAAAGAAGTATTCTCTGAAAGGGGTAATATTCCTTCTCTGACAAGTGAGCAATATGCTCCAGTATCTCTAAAGGTATTTACTTTAGTTGGTTCTGAGTTTTCCTGAAGGGAAATAAGACTTTCGCAATAATAAGGGGCCATACCTTTTTCTACTTCTCTAGGGGACATGTTACTAGGGATATTAGAGATTTTCCCGATGGGTTGAGGTTTTTGGGGGCAGTTGGAACTGATGTGACCTACTTTATTACACCTGAAGCAGACGACAGGCTTGCCCTTTACTCCCTGATGACGTTGCAAGTGGTGTCGTTCTGGCTGGTGCCTCTCTGGATATTGTTGTCGAGATGCTCCATAAGTAGTTTGCCTCTCTGCAGGGGGACCATATGTTGAGAGCGTGGCTCACCAGGTGACTTATTGGATGACGTAGACGCTCTCCCTCCGGCTGGCACTTCATTCTCCAATGTTGTCGATCTCTGCTCACGCCAGACTGTTGAAAAGAGAGACGGGACCGCTCGGACAAGGAGCTGTTCGTTTCGAAGGTATCAGCCCACCTGGCTGCCTCCAATGCAGTGGTTAAGTCACGATCCTGCAGAAAGACACGAACCTCTGGTCCCACAGACTCCAGCAGGTTATCAATCAGAATAAGCTGCACCAGCTCCTCAAAGTTAGAGACAACCACTCGCTTTATACCAGCTGGTAAAAGCTTTGGTTTGCTGTCTCACAAAGTCCACCAGGGATTGACCAAGCTGCCGCCTGTTCAATTTGAAGGTCTTACGATATTTAGCTGGGATACATGTATATGCTCCCAACACTGTGGTCTTCACTATTTGATAATCAGAGAATTCAGCGTCAGTTAATACCTGACGTAATTCCTGTGCCTTACCCAATAATGCTGTATGAACCAACGCTGCCCAGTGCTGTTCCGGCCACCTCAAGGCTCGAGCCTGATTTTCGAAGCTTTCGAAAAATTGCTCTGGTTCGGCCTCATTGAAGCGGGGAACAAGCTGTACTGCTTTTTGTAAACTGAAATCGTTTACAGAATGCGAAAACTGCCTCCTTTCTCTTTCCCTATCAAATTCTTCCCTTGCGAATGCTCTCTGTTCCCTAGTTTGCTCCAGCGTGATTTTTGCCAGCTCAAGTGCCAAGGACGCTGATTCACCTCGAGACAACCCAGCTGCACTATACTGACCATCTTGCTCCGTAGGTGTATCATCTTCCTCATGCGAGAACATAGGAGTTTTTTCCCTAGCTCCCGTAGAGGGAGGAGTTTGATGTGCCATCTCTTCTTCAATAAGTTTGTCAGCAATAAGTGAACGCAGTTGCGCAGCTGTAAGAGTGCGTTTATAGGGAATGCCAATGGAACGAGCAATTTGCCAACAACGCTGTAGGGACAATTTAGGTAGGTTATGCAAAGTATATGCCGACACCAGGCGTCTGACTCGTCTAGGTGGCATAAGTTATTCGCTATGCACAGTACGAATACCCCAACGTAACACGTTAATTTGCAGAACACGCTTAGCTATGCACAGTACGATTGCAGAATACGCATACAAGCAAAGCCGACTGCACACAAGATTGACTGTAGCGAAGCGAGCACACTGAACAAGCTAGTAGCGAGCTGTTGAACGATCACACAATAGCAAGGCTGATCATAAGCAACTGACACGCAAAATTTGTAAAGCGAAGCGAGACAGCAAGCTACACAATGTTCCTGCTACAAGCTTCACCCTAAGCTCAACCCTTTCTCTAAGTCCAGCTCCAGCTCTCGGACAGGCTACCCATATTACATCCTAGGATTTCAAATGGCCTGTTATCCCAGGTGTAATGGGAGCAAAAGAAACACAACAGAAAAAGTTTAGACTTATATTATCCTTCACCAATTTAGAACAGCAATATGTACACTATGTACAGTAATAAGTATAGTGCACGTCACGGAAAGCAAGGCAGAAATAGAAGCCACAAGATAGCAGACCGTGCTCAACCAGCTCTAGAATGGGAATGACAAGGGCAGACAGGAGAGCGGTATCCACATAACCTCTGCGATTGCCAATCCCACCTTCTTATTGGCTAGAACCTGGTCACTAGTTGAACGATGGGGCCCCATCACCAACTCTTAGCAACCTGGTTCGCTGGTTGGGGGAGATAGCCTGTAAATGAGGGTGTGTCCATGCGCCGAATGTGTGTATTTATGTATCCCGAACTCTATATTACAAAAAAAGTAATTTTTAAAAAGAAGAAGATGGTAAGATTTACTCCTTTTGTAATACAGAGTTCGGGATACATAAATACACACATTAAAATAAATTAATCTTTAATCAACTA